CCTCTGGAGGATGCTGTGGGCACTAGAAGCCTGCACCTGCAAGGCACCAGCCTTGCAGTTGCACTTCTTCCGCCTTGGAGACAGATGAGGGCAACGTGTGTGTTCTGAATTTCTTTCATCTGCCAAAACATTCTCCCTCTCAGCCGATTTACCCTAGGATACACAAAGATCAAGTGGTCTTCCAACGCTTGAGAGTTTTGGACATTTGGGTTCTGAGAAACGTTTCTTACATTCCTTAGGAAGGTCTTCAACATCAGGAGTCTGGGATCTGGCCTTGTTTTTACTCCTTAATTTTCCAGCCTGTTCAGGACCCTTGGGTTTCCTGACACGTTTGTGACCTGATCTGTGAGGCAGAGGGGATGAATTCTGTAAAAGCTGTTGGGTTCTCAGCTGTGTCCTGGTGTTTCTAAGGAGCTCTTTTAATTTGTTACTGGTAGCTGAACAATAAATAGATTGAGGTAGGGGTCTGGCTTTAAATCAGTATGTTTTCTTTTTAGGCCTAAGACAGTCTCTCAGCTGCTTTCCCCGGGCTGCTGACCTCTGTTCCTCCCTTGCAATAGATGTAAATGGCTTTTGTAAGGTCCAAAGAGTTGTTTTTCTCCTTCCCAGCCCTCCTCCATTCTTCATTTTGCTTAACTAGCTCATGATAAAGGGAAAGAAGGACACTCAGAGGAACTGGATTGGTTTGAAATTTCTTATGCTTGGAATCTTCTTTTTTGAGCAATTTCTATACTATTCTGATATAATTTAGATTTCATGGCCTCTTCTTTTTTCTTCTCTTCTCCAATCATCATTTGAAAAAAGGTACAGGTATCGTAATTGTGGGCTCCCATTCTTTTGGTTTCTTCCTTGTTTTTTCAGCTACTTGGAAGTCAGTATCTTCACCCTGAATATAATATTCATCCCAAAAGTTTTTCCACATGTTGTGGATGAGCTCCTTAGCATTTCGTTTTTCCTGGGATGCTCGTAGTATACAAGGAGGAAGGCTGGCCTAAATCTGGCTCCGAAAGTGATACCATTAACATAACAGGGTGACAGGAGTTATTTTCTAATACAGAACTGGAAGAGTTGCTAAGAACATCATCCTTGGTGGTCACTGGATGAACTTCCTTTATATTGAATTTATTCTGGTACATTTTCTCTAATTTTGCCATAGTTTCTATGTGAGCCGCCTTCAGCTCTTGTTTCTTGAGATACTCCTCTTAGAGTGGCACGTGTCAGAAAATCTCAGTGTTGCCACAGTTTATACTTCTTTCCAGCACAGATGAGTTGGTGTCAGAATCAGCCAGTGCCTGCATGGGGCACGACACCTTATCATCTTCCTCTTGCAAGGCTGCCACCACCAGTGCCTCTCATACTGGATGGTCTACACCTCGGTGTTGGGATTTACTGGCAAGTGGACACTGGAGGCATCACTCCACCTCCAAGGCCAAAGCCTAGGTGTTGGCCTAGGGCAGGTAAGCTGGTGCAGACTCCAGCAACCTGGCCCCACAACCTTTTCTGGCACATAGATGTTAAATAAATAATGGTATTTGTAAAATAATTCTTCTGTTTAAGAATCATTTTCTACACTGAAATCTACATGTTCTTTTATATGTTTTAAAGTTTGTCTTTCACTTTCAAAAATCAATTTTTCTTGTTGGTATGATTTAGATTTGGTTTAAAATTTTCTCCCAAATGGTTATACAAAACCTCAGGTACTAAGTAGTTTGCTTTCCCCGCTCCCTTTTTTTTTTTTTTCTTTTTTTCTTTTTTGAGACAGGGTCTTGCTATGTAGTCCAGGCTGGCCTTGAACTCGATGCAATCCTCCTGCTTTAGCCTCCCACCAAGTGCTGGATTATAGGCATGGACCACTGTGCCTGGCTCCCCTAGTTTTATTTTGATTTTTTTTTTTTTCTTTTATTTTGAGACAGATCTCACTATACAGTTTAGACTCATCTTGAGCTCACTTTGTAGCCCAGGCTGGTCTCAAACTTGCAGCAATCCTCTTACCTCAGCCTCCCAAGTGCTGGGATTACAGGCCTGCGCCACCACACCTGGCTCTCCTAGTTTTAATGTCTTCGGACCATTTTTTTCTGTATATGCCTAGAGGTCTGTCTAAATTCTCTTTTCTGTTCCTTTGAAATCTTTGTCTATCCTTGCATTCGTACCAAATTGTCTTATTTTAATTTTCTAATAGTTCATGATATTAATAGGGTAAATTCTTTTAAATTTTTATAATGTTCTCGTTTTTCATTACTCTGCCAAATGTTTTTAAGAATTTGCTTGTCAGATTCCTTGAAAATCTTTGTTATATATATATATATAACATATATATATATATATATATATCTTTGTTATATATATATATATTTTTTTTTTGCCCCATACTGCTAGTTTCTCTTTAGTTCATTGAAAAGAAAGGTTTGTGAGGTGAGGTGCTTGTGCCACTGAGCTATATCCCCAACTCTAAAGGTTTGTGCTGATATTGTTTGTACAATACCTTGTGCTCATATTTTGTACTCTGAGGTACTACTCTGAAGATAATAATATTCAGTGTATTAATTATTGTTACTCTCCTATTATCTTGTTTTGAAATTCTGGGGATTTTTTTCCTTTTTAAAATAAAAAAAAGAAAAACCTTGTTATGGTTTTCATTGGAACGTAGATTAATTAGGAAAGAATTTACATCTTCACTGTATCATTCATCATTCCCAAAATATTTATGATATATGTTCTGTATAATGAGTACTGAGAATACAGCAATGAATACGGCTGAGAAATAGTCCCGGACTCATCAGATTCATGAAACTGACATGCGTTCTAGTGGGAGAGAGACCATAAACAAATAAATTATACACACTATTATTCTCAGAAACGTTATAGACAAAAACTAGGAAGAGTTGAAATGTCTGTGTTAACTGCTCTATCATGTCGTAGACTGCTGTTCAGCAGTGGAAAGGAACAGATGGGAAAAGCATCTTTTAAGGCAGTAACACATGTGAAGCTTTGATATGTCGCACTACATGTAAAAAGCAAGGTATAATAGGTTTCATATTACATGATTCCATGGGAAATTATTACAGAATAGTGACAAAAGCATGAGTTGCTTGAGGCATGAGATGGAACTAAGGATTGATTGCAAAAGAGCATGAGGGAAAAAAAAGAGTTTGAGGAAATATGTAGGGTTGATGGAAGTATTTAAAAATCCAGTTCTGATGATAGTTATAAAAGTGTATGAATTTATTAAACTTATTCGTATACTTAAAATGGACAAAATTTTTGTTGCATAAATTATGTCTCAGCCTGGGTGTGGTGGCGCACACCTGTAATCCCAGCACTAGGGAGGTTGAAGCAGGATGATTGGTGCAAGTTGGAGGCCAGCCTGGGCTACATAGTGAGGTCAAGGCTACCCTGAATTACAAAATGAGACCCTGTCTCAAAACCACCCCCCCAATAAATAAATTACATAGATAGTTCAGTAAAGCTACTTAAAATAATTATATGCCAGTATTAGAAACATTATGTTAAGTGAAGGAAGCTAGTCACAAAAGCCACATGTTGTATAATTCTGTTTATGTAAAATGTTGAGAATAGACAAATCTATAAAGGGAAAAAGGCAGATTGGTGGTTTCCCAGGACAGCAGCGATGGGGAGGGTCAGGAGGGAAGTGGGAAGTGATTTGCTAATGTGCACAGGATTTCTTCTTTGCATTGATGAAAATATTCCAAAACGATTGAGGTGATAATAGCAGAATTCCCCAAATATACTGAAAAGCCTTGAATTATATGCTTTAAGTAGGTGTCAGTGTGGTCGAGATAGCAAAGAAGGAGACAGTAGGAAGTGCAGTTGGGAGACGCGATCATGTAGGGGCCTCATCGGGGCTTGAGTTTTTGTAGTGAGAGGGAGAGGCAGTAGGGTTTTGAGTAGAGAAATGACCTGATTTGACAAAAGTTGTTTTTTGGTTTTGTTTATTTTGTTTGCTTCTTTTGTTTCATTTTTAAAATACGTTTTTATTTTTAATTAACATACATATGTTTATATGGTACAGTGTGACATTTCAGTACATGGATACACTGTGTAATGATCAGATTAGTGTGAGTGGCATATCGGTTACCTCAGATAACATATATTTCTTTATGCTGATGTCTCTGTTAGCTGTTTTGAAATATTAAGTTATCATCGAACATAGTCATCCTATTGTGCTGTAGAATGTTAGAAATTATTTTTCCTACCAGCTGCACCCCATTGTTTATCTTCTCCCCATCCCTTTCACCCCTACACTTTCTAACCATTTGTTCTAACCACTATTATATTTTCCACTTCTGAGACCACCTTTCTCACGTCATACAAGTGAGAACATGTGATACTTGACCTAGGCTGTCAGTAGTGGCTGAGATGCTGAAAATACACAGAAAAGTAGCATGAAGTTGGAAGGTTCGATAGTTGGAAGGCAAGCCAGGGATATAGCTCAGCGGCATAAGCACCTGCCTGGCAAACGCAAGGTCCTGAGTTCTATTCCTGGTACAAAAAAAAAAAGTAAATAGTTGGAAGGCAGCAGTCCATGGGAAAGATGAAAGTGACTTTCACCAGCACTGGAAAAAACATTGGTTCATTTCTGAATATCATTTGAAGGAAGTAACAACAGGGTTTGTTGACAGGTTGTAGATAAGATGTGGGGAAATGGGGAGCCAAAGAAGATGTTACGGTTTTTTGACCATAGGAACCGAGCGAGGGAAGATTGAGGTTAAAGCAGATTTTGAGGGAAAGGCTATGAGTTCTATTTCTGACACGTTAGAGAAACCCATCAGACATCCAAGTACAGATTTGAGTAAGCAAACTGAATATCTGAATCTGGAATCTAAGGAAGAGATCTTCAAGTAAAGATTGTATGTAAAGCTATGTGTGCTGTAGTCTACCACCACAGTATATTAATGACTATATTTTCCCTTGTTAGACTTAAACACTAACCTCTCCCTACCCACAAAAAGAACAAACCTGTTAATTTTCTTGCATATCAGGATCTTCAAGATGAAGTTCAAAGGGAGAATGTTAATCTGCAAAAACTACAGGCCCAGAAGCAGCAAGTACAGGAACTCCTTGATGAACTGGACGAGCAGAAAGCCCAGCTAGAGGAGCAACTCAAAGAAGTCAGAAAGAAATGTGCAGAGGAGGCCCAGTTGGTAATGTCTGGCTGTTTACTGCTACCTGTCTGTGTCTTGGTTGCTTTTACTGGCTTAAGATGAAAACATTCTCTGCTTGTTGTTGCTGTCCTTCAGTGGCTATCTAGTCAGTAGTTGGCCGTATAAGAGAGATGGAGTCAAGTTCATCAGAAATTCCAGGCCCTCGGGCTGGGGATTTAGCTCAGCGGCAAAGCGCCTGTCTGGCAAGCGCAAGGTCGTGAGTTCGGTTCCCGGTACCGGAGAAAAACCAAAAAAAAAAAAAAAAAAAAAGAAATTCCAGGCCCTCTTTTGTAGAAATAGGACACTTTTAGAAAGACAGAACTTTTCCAAGTTTTGGTTGAAGTGTGATATCAATGCCTGCAACTTTCCCCTTTCTTTCCCTTAGTTACTCTTCTCTATCAGGAACATAGATTGAAAACAGCAAAATAGTAAACTAAACAAATATATGTATTGAATTATAGAATATTCTAATGATATCTCTTCTTTAAGTCCCTTTCATCTTATTCTCTTTATTACAGATCTCATCTTTGAAAGCTGAAATAACTAGTCAAGAATCACAAATCTCGACTTACGAGGAAGAACTGGCCAAAGCGAGGGAAGAGCTGAGCCTCCTACAACAAGAAACAGCAGAATTAGAGGAGAGTGTGGAGTCAGGAAAGGCTCAGCTGGAACCTCTTCAACAGCACCTTCAAGAGTCCCAGCAGGAAATCAGTTCAGTAAGTCTTTGTGAAGCGGTGAATATTCCAAGATGGCTCCTCCTCTATCTGTCCTGTTAATGATACTCCTGAACTTCTCCCTCGGCCTACTTGATTATACTCATTTTGTAGTTATTTCATACAAATAGGTTTCTTTGCCACTATTAAATGCTAAAATAACCATACATCTTGAACATCTGGTGATCACGGGAGTGAAGTGTGGGCTTTGTGATTAGCTGGTCTAGGTTTAAGTGCCAGTACAGCCTCTTGCTAAGTGAATCACATTAGTATCAGATTCTTCATCTGTAAACTTGGAATTAAAAACCTGAGCATGGTGATACATGCCTGTAGTCCTAATACCTTGGGAGGCAGACAGGATGATTGGTACAACTTCAAGGCTAGTCTGAGCTATGCAGCAAGACTGTGTGTCAAAAAACAAAAAATAATAATTATAATATAAATAAAATTGGAGAACTTCAGCACTCATACTTCTTAGGATTATTGGGAGGATAAATGAGGCAAAACTTGTGAGATGTTTTAGCACAGTGTTTGGTACATAAGCAGTAAATGTTATTTTTACAAATAATAACCTAGTGTTTTTTATTGTCATTCAATTTTGAAAGAATTTTGCTCATTTAGAAACCTTTGGTTTTTTAAATTGGGAGATTGTTTCTTTTTAGATAAAAATGGAGTGTGTTTGAGTGGTCCCATGTATGGACGCTTTGCATATTTATTTCTAGATTGCACCTTGTGGAGAATAACTTTTTACAGAATGATAGTAAAATGGTTACACAGGAGCAAAGACTTCATATAATCCATTTCTTTCATTTCAGCTTGAGCAGTCTGAGGAAAGGTTAAGTGAATTGCTCATGGTTACATATCCTTTATGAGTCTAAAATCCATGTCTTTAAAAACCCAATCCAGCCGAGCGTGGTGGTGCATGCCTGTAATCCCAGCACTTGGGATTATCCCCTTCTCTTCCTGCTATTTCCCCTCTCTCCATCTGTTGATCCTCTTCCCTTTTGCAAAAGATCTGTCTCCTTGTTTTGTGTTATCTTTTATTTTGCTTTTTAATTTATTTTTATTTTGAGTTTCTCATATAAAAGAAATCATGATATTTAAGTTTGTGTGTCTGATTTATTTAATATTATGGTCTCATGATGCAGCCATTTCCCTACAAATCACTTAAGTTTATCCTTCTTTATGGTAGAATACTCCATTGTGTATAAATACCACATTTTCTTTATCCATTCATCTGTTGATGGACATAGATTCAGCTCTTATGAGTTGTGCTGTTATAAACATGCATATGCATGTATCTCTGTAATATGTCTTGAACTCTTTTGGGAAAACTAGGAGGGGAATAGCTGAGGCAAATGGAATTTCTTGTTTCAGTTTTTTGTGGAATCTCGGTACAGACTTCTCTAATGGTTGTACTACTTTACATTCCCACCAACAGTGTAGGAGGATTCCTTTTCCTCCACACCCTCACTAGCATTTGTTGCTTTTTGATTTCTTGATGATAGCTATTTTTTGTGGAGTATGATGGAATCTCAGTGTTGTTTTAATTTCCATTTTTGGCCTGGCAAGCATGAAGTCCTGAGTTTGTTTCCCGGTAATGCCCCCCAAAATAATAATTTCCATTTCTGTAATGGCTAGCAATATTGAACATTTTTTTCATGTATTTATCAACTTTTTATACTTATTCTGACAAGTATCTATTCATTTTATTTGGCTACTTTTTGATTGGGTCTTTTGAGAGGAGTCTGATTTTTTTCTTTTCAATTCTTTATATACTAGTTATTAATCCTCTAGGGATTGGTGGCAAAAATTTTTTCCCATTCTGTGGGTTATCTCTTTATTTGTTTCCTTTGTTGTGCAGAATCTTTTAAATTTGATATAATTCCATTTGTTATTTCTTGTGCAATTGGGCTTCTGTTCCAAAAGTCTTGCCTGCACTATGGCTTTAAGAATTTTACCTATTTTATCTTGCAGCAGATTGACTAAGGGTTTGTCTATTTTGTTTATTCTTTCAAAGAACCAGCTGTTTGGTTGAATTCTTTGTATTTTTTCAGTTTCAGTTTCATTAATTTCTGCTCTGAGCTTTATAATTTCCTTCCTTTCCTTTTACTACCTTTGGATTTGTATTGAACTCATTTTTTTAGGAACCTGGGATACATCATTAGGTTGCTTATTTGGGCTTTTTAAAATATTTTCCTTCCTCTTACTGCCTATGGTTTTGGATTGTTCTTGCTTTTCTAGGACCTTGAAGTGCATCATTGGGTTATTCATTTGGGCTTGCTCTATTTTTCTGATGTGGGTATTCACAGCTATAAACTTCCCTTATAGGTCCATTTTTCATTGTGTCCCATACATCCTGCTATGTTGTATTGGCATTATTGTTTGATTCTTGAAATGTTTAATTTCTTCTGTGACCCATTGACTTTTCAGGAGTATATTATTTCATTTCCAGGAGTGTTTGCATAATTTCTGTGGTTTCTTTTGCCACTAATTTTTGCTTCATTGCTCTATGAACTGAATATACATGGGCTAATTTATTTATTTTTTTTTTATTTTTTTTTTTTCTCTTCTGCTTCCAGATGAATTTTATTTTTTTTTTT